GGTCCAGCTGCGAACAAGTTTTAGCATATTCAAGCTGTGTGTAAAAGTGTGAATTAATTTAACACATTCATTTATGATGTATCACAGCATATGCAGTTTGGCAAATGTATGTTAACAACTTAGTAAGATATGATAATAAGTATTTTCCGATAAATTAACAAACCTTTACATTCTCTGTGTCCATCTTGAATCTTACAGTTCATCAATGGTGTCACACTATCGCAAAGTATATCTTTCATTGTGTTCTTATCACTCTCTCTTCATCGCAAAGTATATCTTTCATTGTGTTATTATCACTGTCTCTCCATCGCAAAGTTTATCTTTCATTATGTTCTTATCACTGTCTCTCTATCGCAAGGTTTATCTTTCATTGTGTTCTTATCACTGTCTCTTCATCGCAAAGTATATCTTTCATTGTGTTCTTATCACTGTCTCTCCATCGCAAAGAATATCTTTCATTGTGTTCTTATCACTGTCTCTCCATCGCAAAGTTTATCTTTCATTGTGTTCTTATCACTGTCTCTCTATCGCAAGGTTTATCTTTTATTGTGTTCTTATCACTGTCTCTCTATCGCAAAGGTTATCTTTCGTCGTCTTCTTATCACTGCTTCAGTGTATTTATAAACAAATTTTACAATAACAAAATTATTTTATGTTAAGGAACACTAAACTATTAACATTCGTATTCGAGAAATGTTCCTTGTTTGTGTATACTTGAATAGAAGAATTTAACGATAGGTATCGTATACAAGATTTAAAGTTTGACCAACGAAACAAATTCCTAATCTTTAAACTTTATGAAGGTGAGTCCCTTTTTATTTTGGTTCCATTTTATTCCAAATATTCTATCATTCAAGATTATAAAAAGATGCTAAAGTATTACCATTTGTAGGAAGTATATTAAATGGAACTAACTCAAGGAACGTTGACTTTGTAAGGCATTCATAAACATCATGATGTGAACAACTGAGTTAAATAAGACTGAATTTCAATTAACGTCTGGGAAAATTTTTTTTCACATTGACTGACTTCAATATTTGCAGATAATGAGCAATTATGTAACTTAAAAAACTCTTACACTGGCTCCGAAACAGGCCCGAAGGTAACTGTGTACGGTGTTTACAAGGCATTGTCGCGTTGTAATAAAGCTTTTTAATCTTATCAGGCATTCATGCTTTATTTTTCTATAAGTTAAAGGCACAAAATTCCCTAATAATCCATATTTTTTCAATTAGTAAGAAAGGTCAAATATGTGTTTAATAGTGTTTTAATAATTGATTTTGAGCGTGTACAACAAGTGAAAGTAGCACTGAACGTGCAATTATGTGTCGAAAAATGTAAACAAAGTAGAATTTTTAATTGCATACAAAATACTATTTCACTACAGTTATATCAACTGTCAACAGAGCAAAAGATGCAAAAGACTGCGTCTTCGCGTACATGCGGAATGGTAGACTTTTGAAACTGTTTGTTTGTTTTTGTTTGTTTGGATTTTACGGCACGTCAACACATAAATGGCCATATCGTGCCGAATGCTATAATAGGTAATAAGATGCCAAAAATATTTTTTTGTTGAGAAAAAGTTGGGGTAAAATCAACATGTCATTTAACATGGTTGAGAACAATACCGGTTCTTCTGTACTAGTACATAGCAGCAAAACCTATATCGGACTTTGCTGGCGTCTCGTCCAACACAGGTTTGACATATGTGAACTCTTTCCATAGAATTAAATGTTGTACTCAACAGTGTATAAAAACCTCATAATACGAGTATATATTGAAATCGTATTCCAAAAATGTTAGAAATGTAAGTATGTGATATTTAAGTATAAATATTACAGATCTACGATTTGCGTTCTTTCAACGATAACATAATAGTACAACGTGAGGAGTAAAATTTGGACAAACGGAAACTATAACATGCTTAAAACCTTTAAATCCGAGAAATGGAGCCCCTTTCCTAATTCAAATATGAAAGAAAAGCATAATCCGAAGATGCATTCAATGTTTACTGTCTTGAGGACGCAAATTCTATCTTTTTCATAGTGTGCTAGAATTTTGCTAAACTGTTTTCAGCTATTGGGTTATGTAACGAAAACTTGACTGTCTTTGTAAAATAAGGTTATCAATATTGCTTTCATAAATAAGGTGACAAAACATAAAAAGTTCAGTCGTAATGTTTTGATACTTTGCAGGCACGATTTAGTTCTTATATCAGGGGAAAATATATCATGAAGCAAACCAAGTTGCTTTTTGACATTTTTGTTAAAAGCTTCCATCAAAATAGGATGACACATAATGTTTTTGTCTGGAAGGCATCCTCAAATGTTAATATTTTAAGTTTTTAGTGACGGAACTGTTTTATCACCACTTGTAAGACATTTGGACACAATCAGTTTTTCAGAGTGAATATTAAAAATAAAACATATTAAGTGTTATTTACTTTACTTGCAACGTTGGTATAAAGATTAGATATTTTTCAACTGACTTTAAAACGAAAATGAATTGCTCAGAATTAATGAAATGTATATTTCTCTATACATTCACGTACAAGCAATTGCAATTTGATTTCAAATGGTTAATATTAAATATAATGAAGTGATAGGATACTTCCACATTGTGTACCATTGACTTTATGAATGGACAGGTGCGATACCAGTTGTTTGCTATCAAAAATAATTGTTCGTTTTCAATTGTCTGTCACTGCTTTCACGAAAGAAACGTTTGTATACAAACACTTCTTCGATGTGATTTTCTTTTGAATTATCACACGTCACGCTGAGTGAGGTAACTAAACTTTGAGATTTCTATTGAATCCTGGTGTAAAAGGTCCTAAAATAAATGGCAAATATCTCTTTAAATACTCCAAACGGTAAAAATGTTGCAGGCTCATTTCGAGGAGCGTGCCTGTTTAAGGACGGCAGTGGTTACAGCAATGCGACACGCGACTTTTGAAAAGCGGCGGATGATACCGAACTTAAAGAATGCGTTCAGACAACAATTAGCTGAACTATAGAAAATGGAATTTTGAAAGGGGATAAGATGTTTTATGCCAATGACATATAAGACGCTAAGAGAAAATTTAAAAAGCCGACAACATGGCCTCAGGATGATTAAACAGTATTCAAGTAGGAATACTAGAACCACCAAACAAAAGATTAAATAGAAAAAACTTAAATTACCACAAACATGCACACGTCACAATAATGTCGCGCTGAACGTTGTTATCAAGATATAAAAAATATATTTTAATCAACTGGATGAATAACACAGATTCATTTTGATAAGTTGATGTGTAATATCATATCAGTACTTTGAAATATTGAAAAGTAACTAATATTGTGTATTTATATATTAAAATAACTAGCAAATTGGATGTGAGGTATAGGCTGTATATAATTATAAGAATGTTGACAATCTTAGATTTTTGTAAATATATGTTAGGGGTTAAAATAGACACTAAATTATGATGTTTATGGTGTCAATTATTTTTCTTACAAATATTATATACATAACATGTATATATATCATACATATAAAGATCGAAGTGTTAATATTACCAGTATATATTATGGGGCCTGTATTAAAATCCTCGTACTTTTGTGGATGCTTTGAAACCACAGCGCTTCCCACTTGATAAATTATTGCTAATGATGATAAAGCCATTTTATAATATGGGATAGTATGGAGTAAGAGTGGTGTCCACTATCTGTGTAAACTGCAGAAAACTCCATTTTGTATCAATTAAACAATAAAACATATACCCTATACCATAGTTGATAAACGCGTCTACTTCCGGTCCCCGCTAGAAATGATGCAAATTGAATTTAATAAATCTATAATAAATGATCGGAAATAACAGGTGTTTGTGCTCGCAATACAAATGACTTATATAGACTAGCAACTAATGATACAGTGATTTCGTTTTCACACTGTGTATACTCTTTAATGAACAAATAAATGTAAGTACTCGGTTTTTGTTTGTTTTTAAAGCCATAGGCGACTTTTCATCTTTAAAAGTGTATGAAGATCTTCAAGAACTAACTTTGCTTTATTTCACTCACATATAAGGCACCCAAGTACAACACTTGCGTTCCGTTGGCTAGCTGGACAGCTTTTTCACATGAAAGAATCTGACGACACTAACGTGTTGTATTGGAACCACCCAACTAGAAAATGCCGAAAAGTTGAAACTAAAAATACCACAAGCACAACAATAATGTCGTGCTGAACGATCTTCAAGGATCGAAAATATAACATCATTGATTAAATGTACGGAGAGACTTTTTACAGCCTTTTTACTTTTTAGTTGGGTGGTTCCAATATTCCTACTTGAATAATGTTGAATCACCCTTAGATTATGTTTCCTGCTTTTTAAATTTGTCTTTTGACGTCTTATCTGTGATACGCAGGCTTCATAACCTCTAATCTCCTTTCAAAATTCCATTTAATTTAGTTCCGCCCATTGTTTTCTCGTTTAGGGCACACGCTTTTTATTACTTGGGGACCATACGCCGCTTTTCATGGAATGGCAGGGAAGTGTCACATTGAAGGTTCCATGATAACCGCCGTATGAACACATCTGCGGATGTTTCTAAATTCAGAATTTTACTAGTTCATGTTTAAATGTTGAATTCTGCTTAAGCCGGTGCTAGCGGGCGTGGACGGTAACTTGCACTTTCCAGTACCGTCCATGAACAGGCTCAATCAAAATTCTGGAAACAAAGTGATCTTTCGGAAGCATTAATCACAACAAAATAACATAAGAATTGCAGGCTCGGTTCAATTTTTCCGTGTTGGGCTTTCTTTAGGGATTCTGTTTTTATCTATTTCAGATCAAAAGACAGTTGATTTAGTACTATCAGGGTTCTTTTCAACAATAATTTTCAAATTTTGATTGTTTCGTTTATATAAATTATAATAATTTCATTTTTAACACAAACAAATATGTTGGATTCCGTAGTTCGAATACAGCTACCATATAGAAGTTGTCTATTAAGGTAAGACCTGGGTAATGGGCAATAACATGAACCTAAAATTGCACATTATATTATTGTTTTGTATCATTATGTACATCAAAATATAAAATATTAAAAGAATTTACCGTGTTGTTTTATAGCTACAAGTGTTTTTGTAAATACCCCGTTTCAATAATTTAGCGGCAAAATTGCCATTGTCATATTTTGCTAAATATTTGTTTTTTTTCCTAAAAAAAGAACAAAACAATATGTTTCAGCATGTTTTCTATTCATCTGTATATGTACTGTACCCAAAAACAACAATTCATGAATAATAAAAAGGTTTAAGAAAATATTACCAAAAATGTGAAACAGATTTGGTTCAAAAAGTCGCATTTCAGAATTTTGTTATTTTCCCCTTATTTTTTCAAAGTTCAAAATTTTTACATGAAAGTGCCTGTAACTATGCAAATTTGGCACCAAAATTTTTCTGAATGTGTGAGCAATAACATATGTTAAAATAAGAAACTTTTACCGTCTAGTTTCTTTTAGACAAGAACACAAACAAGATGACCCCCTTGAATTTTGATAGCCATATTTTCATGAAAAATGCTTAAAATGTCTTAAACAACTGTTAAACATACAATTTGCATTTGATTCTTGCTATACAAATAAATCAAATGAATAATGTTTTACAAATAAATGAAGAAAATTTAGTTTTCAGTTATTACATAAGAAGAGTTAGGATAAAAATTATCCAGAATTATCATACATGACTTATTATTTGCCATCGAAGTATGACACTAACTTTGGAATAACGGATTCCAAAACTCTCTTAGAATTGGTCACTCTTGGCAACCCTTCACTATTTTTCATAGTAAACACATTATACAGTCCATCCTCTCCCTTACGTTGAAAAATTGTTTGTAAATGTTTAAAGTTTAACCCCGAACTTGCAACATTATCTGCAGTTGAAGATTTCATGACGCCACTTGCAATCAAAATAGACAAGGATGGCAAGTTTTTATGTTTCTCTTTGTTTGAATCCATATTGTATTTCACATCACTAGGAGAGAAACTCTTGACTGTAATACACTTATCATCCTGTTTCAAAGCATAAATGACCAGCTCGGACAAACAATCAACATCACACAGTGCGTTATGAGCGTTATACACCTTGGAGAGCAATGAGCGGGCTAGGTCCTCCTGCTTGTAAGACTCACGTTTAGGAGAGATAGATTTAAACACGTGAAGACTGTCTACCAATCCCAACACACATGAACTAAACTCATTAAACATTCCACTAGCTTGACAGGCATTAACGACGATTGGGAAGTCAAAGCGTTTTCCATTATGAGCAATCAGAAAAACATAGCGAAACTGATTCAGCCAGATAAGAAAATCTCTGAGAGCTGTTTGTATAGTTTTTGTTTCCACGGGAACACCATCTACGCACATATCTGTACTATTTGTTACAATAATTTTAGTCACTCGCTCTGCTGATGCGCTCATAGGTAGTTTTGGTAGCACATAGCAGTTGAAGCTCTTCTCGGTACCAACATGTTTGGCTGCTATCTGTGTAATATGGGGGTAAACATCTCCTCGAACTGGAAAATAAAAATGGTACTGGAGTAAAAAACTGAATAAAAGTTATACAAGACAATAGTATTATAGTGATTTATAACATGCTTTGCAGTGGAAAATGAAATTATATTAGATAATTTTCACAGTGAAATCATAAAATATATTTTTCACTGTAGACAGACTATATTTGAATGACGGTGAAAAGAATATTCATATATCTAAGTGGAATAAATTCCGCTCCATGTAAAATTTGTTTCTTAGAAGCAAGTAAATATCTGCATACAGAATTTAAATTTTACAGAGCTATGTTTCAACATTTATACTTTGACATTATGATGTGACTTTACGCGGCAAAATCAGCAAGAATTGACTAATTTGAAAAAAATAGATTTTGTTTTGTACGCAATATTGAAATATATTTAACTCTGGTGAATACCAGCTATAATATTTTATATAAAATAAATGTATCTGGGTTTCACTCAGTGACAATATCTTAATCTTACATGCTAAAAAACCCAAATATCCTCTATATAATAATTATACCATCATAAAGCACTTTTTGATTTATAAATGTTGTATTGGATCATCATTTAACATCTATAAACATGCAGGAGTAATAAAAAAGGTAAGTAATGTCTACATGAAAAGTACTTACTAAGGTCTGTTGTTTCAAGATCCACAGTGATATAAGAGGGTTCGCCACTTGAACAAACTGGCTTGAACACTCCACGTGGTAAAGGATCGGGGATTTTGTCTATGTCTATGTCAGCTGTGTGGCCAACTTCTGTACAAATGTAAACCAAAAAAAAATTAAAAGAAATGAAATAATAACAAAGAGCAGTTGTTTATAAACATCATGTCACAATAAAAAAAATAATGAGAGCCACGTTGAAACAAACACATGGATTTATACAGTCATTACAATTTGTTTTACTGAAAACACAGGTATATCAAGATGACTGGAAACTAACCTGACTGATATGTTGCCCCTTCGAGTGACTCTGTAGCTGACTGGTTGACAGCACGCTCTTTTTTCAAAAACAGGCGCCTTCCCTTTGTTGATGGCTTAGCAAAGGTTTCCTGACATTTCTGGCGTTTGATGGCACAATGCTGTGCATACTTTTGTGTGTAATGACCAGGTGACAAATCAGCTTGTTTGTTTACCTGCGAAGAATTTTAAAAACATATGCATTTTCATTGCTAAACTTATTTACAAAACATACAGCAACATAAATCATGAAGTAAATTGTTAAAAGACAAAAAATAAGATATATAGATTAAATATTACGAAAGATTAAAGTGTACGCATAGATTGTCAATTGTCATAGAATTAATTTAAAGACAAATCTTGTTGATGGTATAAATGCAAAATGTAAATATGCTAAATTGCAAAATGTGGATATTGAAATTGTAAGATAAAATAAAAAACAAAAAAACTTTACTTCATCTTAAAGATTGCTATTTATGTACTTACTTGTAGCTGGTGTAGAAAATCAAACATTGAAACCAAACTGCAAAACATTGTAACTGAAAATCAAAAGAACAATGAAACTGTAAAAGAGTTGAAATACACATAACTTATAGATTACAGCACTTGGACCATAAATCAAAACATTACAAAACAGTTCACAAAAATGTTCCTCGGTTACTGTAGTCTATAACTTCTTTGATAAAGAAACTTTAACAAGTTGGATAAATTCTTAGCTTGGCAATCAAAGTAAACTGAAGTAAAATGATGACTGTTTATAAAATAATTGCATATTTCAAAAATGGATATAATTCTATTGAACATTTGCCAAGGTAAGATTTACTGAAAATTGTAAAACAAACTCATTATAAAGCATAACAAACATTTGAACAACTTTCCAACTGTTTATACCTCTACTATGTAGTTTCTTCCTTCGTTTATAAATGCTGCAGTTGCTTGAACTCGAACATCTAATGCCTCACTCCCTCCATAGTAAATGTTCTTTGGAGCCTTTAAGGACACTTCTCGGTTGGCGTGTTCACATTGCTGGCTTGACCCTAGGTTCACTAGTTGGCTGGCTTTGGCAATAAAAGGTTTCATAATGTCGTCTAACCGTTGCTTTAACATCTCACCAGTCAAACTTGATTTGTATGGTAAAGAACGGTGGATATAGGATACATCTTTATTCCTAAGATAACCACAAAACCTTGGCTGACACAACTGGTGATCCCCAAAGTTATGGGGAATAATTGCCTTAAGGTTTTCTTGTAATCCATTCAAGTCCCCACAGTTCTTAGAAAGGGCATATGACACACACTTTTGTAAATGGCTTATAGTTATCTTACTGATTTTGATTCCCTTCTCATTTTGTAAACCATAAAAGCTTTTGCCTAAATTTTTTATCACATGGTTTTTATCATATCTCTTTTTCAAACTGATATTGTGCTTGCTTTTAAGTCTGGCTAATAAAGTGTTGTCGCCATCACCTTCAAGAATTTCAACTGGTGTACCTGCTTTTGCTAAAGCCAGTACAGCTTTCTCTCCACTCTCACTCTCCATGGAACGGGCACTTCCAAAGTGGTTTCGTACACATCGGTGTTGTCGTATTTGCTGACCAGGGCGATGACGTCTCCACCAATTGCATGTTGAACATTGTCTGTGGCATATGACACTCTTCAGAACCTTCTTCCCCATCTTTGACGAACTCATTAAAAATGTATGAGCTGAAATTTTAACATTAGCACCAAACTGAAAATTCCGTAAAAAATTACATCATTTAAGTACTTTCTTAATATTGATTGTAAAAATATAGTCAGACAGACAGTTGGGTATCGGATGCTGTAACATAACACATCATTTTGGGTGTAAGAGAGAACTTTCCCTGTTTCATCATTACAACTTGTCAAGTATTTATTTTCAAACTAAGTCAGATATATTAATTTCTAAAATTATAATTATCATCTAGAACCAACAAACTTACTCCTAATTTATTCATTGTGTGCTAAATTTGGTAAGATAAATCACAATTAATTTATAAAATAAGTGATATTTAATTATAACAGGGTAATATTTCATAGAAGAAGCAATAAAAGTCACAAAACTAACCAAAAAAAAACCAGCTTACATGTAAGGCTGTCAAAGCCACGCTTTTGCCAAGCTGTATCAGCAGAGCAGGACATACCATACCGACTCTTAGGCTTGAATGTGGAGAGGAGGTTCTTTTTGATAGCTGTTTTTTTACATGTGTTATGGTCAAACAGTTTACACTTTCTTTTATGCTGTCTCGGTGGTGAGGGAGATGCCTTTTCAGGGCACTCTGTTTCATTACTTGTTGATACAAATGCAGTTTGTAAGACAGACCTGAAATATTCTAAAACTGTTAGAAATATCTACATTATTCATTGGATTAAAAAAGTATATGTAACTGAAATATTTTAATTTAAAATTGATATTATGGCCTAAACATCAGCAAATTCTGAGAGCCGAAAGTGTAGTGTTTTTCGGATAAATGTCAATTCGAGTATGTACATATCTTTAACTTAAGCTCATATTTCCTCCACCACAATACAAACGCAATGATATATACAATTATATATTTTTATTATAAAAATTTTGCTGATGACATAAATGAATAAAATTTATTGAACAAGGAAAACTTATGTTAACAATATCCATGTATTTCAAGTGTATGTTAAAACAACATTACATTTTGGTGTTACTGTCACGCAAAAAGGTTGGAATTTATTTTTCGCTTGACAAACAATTTGTCTATTATTCTATTAAAACCAGGACAAGCCCTGTAAAACAGCTTATGATATATAATTTACATAACATACAAAATACATGAAACTTTCCATTCAATGTTACAATAAAAACTGGTAAACAGTTAACTTACATGGTTGCTGGTGATGCATCTGGTAATGGTGCCACACCCAGATCTTCTATGAGACCATCCATGCTAGCTTCTGCCTCTATGGATTCTTTTTGGGAAATTTCACTTTAAAAATATATTCGAAACTGTCAGTGTGTATATATTGTTGTGTGTGTATATGAATATATATATATATATTTTTTGGGTTCTATGAAAGAAATTACAAAAGCACAATGTCAAGAGATGCCTCAATAACTTTAACATAAATTAAAAAGAATTGTTTTCCATAAGATCTTCAAGAAATGTTTTTGACAATTGCAGTTTTACATCAAATGTTTGGATAAAATGTTTGTGAGAGAAAATTATACAAATTAATAAACACACAATCTAGGTTACCTCATTTCCTTCTGAAATGTGTTTTTGGCAGCTGTATCTATAGACTGCTTGGCAACAGACTCGACCAATTTTCCAGCACGCCTTTCCATATCCTGCAAACTCTTTCTATTTACTGGGGCAATGTTTAGGGTGGAGAGCATGTTGTTCACTTTCCCGGAACCACCAATGCTATCTATCATGGCTAAATTAAAAGAGAAAATCTGGAATTAATCTTTTGTTTTTCATGTTCATTTTTTGTGGAAAATATTAAACTTTTTACTATTTAAAACAGTTTTGATAGCTTGTATAAAAATAAATACTAGCCTTGGACCCCACTGTATCAATTTACTTACTGTTTACCAATAAATAAAATAATAGGCTAGCATAATAGGTAGTTTCTAATGAATGACTTTGACCTAGTTATTAATGTAAATGTCTGTCAGTTAGATTTGTTTGTTTTGAGTTTTACGTCACATCGACACAGTATAGGTCATATCGCGACGTTCCAGCTTTACTGGTGGAGGAAGACCTCAGGTACCCTTCCCTGTCAGTTAGAGCTCTGACCGCAAAATCTTGAGATTTAAAAATTAAATGATACAATGAATAGAACAATATAAGAATTTGGGACTCTACTGGTTCACATACTTATACACACAACTATTTTGACCAGATTGCTGAATTTTGTTACTCATTTATTTATATATAAAACGTCCTAATTCTAAGATGAAAACCAGAAGATACTGATAAACTTACCGACACCAAGCTTTGTATTTGCTGTGAAGCAAGGCATGCCTCTATCTTTCAATCTATGTGTCTTGCCATATGGGACAACGTTCACATGTTTACAGTCCATGTTGCTGCATCTGACGTAAAGAAAACCCGATAACCCTTTCCTTAACTCACCAACAAGAGAATATTTTGTTAAGGCTACTGGTCCTAGCTTACATTTCACACAGTATTCTAATTTATCTAAGAGAACGCCCAGCACCACAATCCGCCGTCCAACTCTCCACCCATCTCTGTCAACATTTCCAGGCAAATTCACGTTTGTATCACTTTGTCTGCACTTAGTTAAACTCGAATCTAATGAAGAACGTTCTTCCGAATAATAATTATGATCATTACAAGTTGATCGTGATCTTTTGCACTTGTTTTTCGTTAATTTCTTCGCCGTGAACCGGCCTTTTGTATCTCGCAACGCCATTTTGAAATGCCAGGATGTAACAGTGTAGTTCCCGGTGCTCGATTAAATTTTTAATTCCAATGCAGGGAACCATGTTCGGAATAACGGAAAAGTCCGATATAAACCGGAAAATGACGGTAAATGTCGAAATAACACGAATTAACCGGAAATGTATTACCCAGGTCTTACCTTAACTCAATGATCAAGTAGCTACGGCATAGTTTAAGACATGTCCTTTTGACAGGGCACCTGTTTCCGTTTATGTTTCGAATAAATACTTGTCATTCGTAGACCTTATAATTAATGAAAGTATCGATTTTTTAAATCGATCAACAAAACAAAATATCAATGCCACACCGATATCGCTTCTATCAATGACAGCTCTAATTTAAAATAGATAAATACAGAATCCCTAAAGAAAGCCAAACACGGCAAAATTGAAAATGTTGCAGGCTCGGTTTGATTGAGCCTGTTCATGGACGGTACTGGAAAGTGCAAGTTACCGTCCACGCCCCCTAGCACCGGCTTAAGCAGAATTCAACATTTAAACGTGAAATAGTAAAATTTTGAATTTAGAAACATCCGCAGATGTGTTCATACGGCGGTTATCATGGAACCTTCAATGTGACACTTCCGTGTCATTCCATGAAAGCGGCGTATGGTCCCCAAGTACTAAAAAGCGCTTGCCCTAAACGAGAAAACAATGGGCGGAACAAAATAAAATGGAATTTTGAAAGGGGATCAGAGGTTATGAAGCCTGCGTATCACAGATAAGACGTCAAAAGACAAATTTAAAAAGCAGGCAACATATCCTAAGGGTGATTCAACATTATTCAAGTAGGAATATTGGAACCACCCAACTAGAAAATGCCAAAAAGTTGAAACTAAAAATACCACAAGCACAACAATAATGTCGTGCTGAGCGATCTAGCATTACCTGCATTGTGTATTTCATTCATTTTAAATGTTGAAAATTCTGGAAACAAAGTGATCCCTCGGAACCATTAATCTCAACAAAATAACATAAGAATTGCAGACTCGGTTTGATTGAGTCTGTACATGAGGGATAATGAATAAGTGCAACATCCCTCACGCCCCCTGGGACCGGCTTGAGCGGTACTCAATTCTCAACACTTTATAGTGTTGGCATCAATGATCCCGAAGGACCAGAAAATATAACAACACTGAAGTGAAGTGAAGTAAAACGTCGCCCCGTACATTCAATCAGAGATGTTATATTTCCGATCCTTAAAGATAGTTCAGCACGACATAATTGTTGTGCTTGCGGTAATTTAGTTCTTTCTATTTGGCTTTTTTCTTGTTGGGTGGTTCCAGTATTCCTCACTTGAATACTGTTGAATCACCCTTAGGATATGTAGCCTGCTTTGTATTTTTGTCTTTTGACGTAATATCTGTGATATGCAGGCTTCTTAAGCCGGTGCTAGGGGGCGTGGACGGTAACTTGCACTTTCCAGTACCGTCCATGAACAGGCTCAATCAAACCGAGCCTGCAACATTTTCTATTTTGCCGTGTTGGGCTTTCTTTAGGGATTCTGTATTTATCTATTTCATAACATCTGATCCCCTTTCAAAATTCCATTTTATTTGGTTCCGCCCATTGTTTTCTCGTTTAGGGCACACGCATTTTTTTACTTGGGGACCATATGCCGCTTTTCATGGAATGGCACTTAGTGTCACATTGAAGGTTCCATGATAACCGCCATATGAACACATCTGCGGATGTTTCAGAATTTAAAATAGTACCAGTTCATTTTAAATTGTTGAATTCTGCTTAAGCCGGTGCTAGGGGGCGTGGACGGTAGTTTGCACTTTACAGTACCGTCCATGAACAGGCTCAATCAAACCGAGCTTGCAACATTTTTAATTATGTTGTGTTGGACTTTCTTTAGGGATTTTTGCTTTCTCTACTTTGTGGAAGTCTGTAAAATATGATAAACAAGATCAACAAGGAAAGGCGGCGTTCAATGAACGCAACCCCCACATGACCCAGCAACAAGAGCCAATGGCAAGGAGCCCAGGCGGAAAACTCTCTGTTGACTCGAATGTTTGTTGTTTGTTTCATTTTACGCCTTTTCCCCAACAGTATTTCAGTCTTATAGGCGGGTAGTTTCCTAACCATCGTTCCTGGAGAGTTACACCAGTACTAAACTACCTTCCTCCGTGCTTAAATACCAAAGTATCTCCCGGGGATCGAACCCACACCAGAGAGGTAACTGGATTAGAATATGAAAAACAAGATCAACAAGGAAAGGCGGCGCTCAATGAACGCAACCCCCATATGACCCAGCAACAAGAACCAATGGCAAGGAGCCCAGGCGGACCCCAAACATAAAAAGGACAGTCATCGACTCTAACCCCTCGACCACGGAGGCGGTTGGACTCGAATGTCATGACCTAGGATGTCAGCTAAAACTATAAGATTAAGCATCTAAACAATGACAGCTACATGTTTCCGAAATGAGGTAGAGTTGAGAAGTTCTGGTTGTTAAGCTCAAAACATGATAAACAAGATCAACAAGGAAAGGCGGCGTTCAATGAACGCAACCCCCATATGACCCAGCAACAAGAACACTCATTTGCGTACTTTCTAAGAAAATCTGCAGCTCTCATTGGGAATTCAGTATCTTCCGGTCTAGCAAACATATACTTATTGATTTCATCAATGCAGCCTAGAATTCGGTTTTTACCAGTGTCAAAATTCCGGAAACAAAGTGATCCATCGGAAGCATTAATCACAACAAAATAACATAAGAATTGCAGACTCGGTTTGATTGAGTCTGTACATGAGGGATAATGAATAAGTGCAACATCCCTCACGCCCCCTAGCACCGGCTTGAGCGGTACTCAATTCTCAACACTTTATAGTGTTGGCATCAATGATCCCGAAGGACCAGAAAATATAACAACACTGAAGTGAAGTACGGGGCAACTTTTTACGGCTGCCACACGGCACTTGACACCTGCTGTTGTGAAGTACAAAATTCCGGAAACAAAGTGATCCATCGGAAGCATTAATCACAACAAAATAACATAAGAATTGCAGACTCGGTTTGATTGAGTCTGTACATGAGGGATAATGAAGCTGCTTTTTTAAATTGTGATGGACTAATATTGCAACTCTTCTTCCTAGTTTGCCTCTAATTATTTCTATCCTATCAACAATTTCAAATAGTTTCTTTTCCAAAGGAGAAAGGGATTTAAGTACCTCCTCTTGGCGGTTTTTCCCATGCTGAATTCCATCTAAGTATTGCTTTACTTCTCATCTCTCCGCTTCTCCTTATCTCCATTTATTAAAGAGAACAGTTTATGCAAGGGTTACTTTGCATTCAAGAGGCTTGATCAGAGTAAAAAAATTCCAACAAAATTACTGCTGCTTCCTTTCTAAGGTAAGTTTTTAAATGAATGCGTTCATTGAATGCCGCCTTTCCTTGTCGATCTTGTTTATCATATTTTAAAGCTTTCAAGTCTTGAGCCAATGGAATTCTTTTTGGCTTGTTTTTTCAGTGTCTAATGTCGGAAGAGTAGAATGACATATTTCTGTCTCCTAGTCTTTTATGTAGACTTCAATAAAAGGCTTTATGTACATGTTTTCTCATGTACAGACTCAATCAAACCGAGTCTGCAATTCTTATGTAATTTTGTTGTGATTAATGCTTCCGAGGGATCACTTTGTTTCCAGAATTTAGTACTTCACAACAGCAAGTGCCGTGTGGCAGCTGTAAAAAGTTGCCCCGTACTTCACTTCAGTGTTGTTATATTTTCAGGTCCTTCGGGATCATTGATGCCAGCACTATTAAGTGTTGAGAATTGAGTACCGCTCAAGCCGGTGCTAGGGGGCGTAAGGGATGTTGCACTTATTCATTATCTCTCATGTACAGACTCAATCAAACCGAGTCTGCAATTCTTATGTAATTTTGTTGTGATTAATGCTTCCGAGGGATCACTTTGTTTCCAGAATTTTGGCTCGTCTTCTCAATTCATCGTCTCCCGTCTTTGCTGCTTCAGTCCTAACTGACCGTGCTACTTTATGTAAGGAGTGGCCAATTTTTTTGCTAGTGAAGGTATCTTAAATGTAAAATCATTTTCATTGTATTCACACAATTCCTTTACTGCCTTTACACACACAGAAAATGCGTTCATTGAACGCCGCCTTTCCTTGTTGATCTTGTTTTTCATATTTTAATACTGTTAATGCAGTCTCGTAATGTTATCACTCAGTCATCAATAGCTCTGGCAGAGACAAGGAATCTAGCAAGTTCTCTCATCTTTTGCCTAACATACTGGTTACTGGAAAATTTTTGAAACATTTTTGTCCAAATCTGACAATATCATTATCATTTCTGGCAACTAATGACACTTTATCATTTGCCATTCTATAGATTGGAAAATTTTAGATGACCAGTACGGCAGTGATCATTAGCCATTGTTACTAATATCAAATGACTCATTCTAGATGAAAGACGTCAAATTTTTAAATTTTAGAAAACAGATTGGGAAACATTAACTAGTCTCTGTTCTATTGATATAACAAAAAAATGAATTTAATTTCACTTCTGCTGATATAAGTTCTCTTCATGATTACATGCGATTACTTGCAAAGTTATTCCATTAACAAAAAATAATAAAAGTAACAAAATTGAAAAACATGGTTTAACGATGAATGTTAAAAAGCCGTTCCTATACGTAAAGCTTCACTTAAAAAGTTTGAACATTGCCGTACAAAAGAAAACCTTAAAAATTACAGAATATTTAGAGTCAAAGCGAGAAGATCAATTCGTCAATCTAAACGCCAATCATGGTAATCATATGTTTCAAATATTAATTCAAATACTCCTATTAAGAAAGTTTGGGATGCAGTACGAAAAATAAGTGGTAAGTATAAAAATAGTCCAACTGTTCACTTAAAAACTGGTAATAGCCAAAATGACAAAACAAAAACGGATATTGCAGAAACTTTGGCTAAAACTTTTGAAAAATTTCTTCTTCAAAAAGTTATTCAAATGAATTTCAACAACATAAATGTACAGCTGAGAAAGAGCATGTTAAATTTACTTCAACAAACGATGAAAATTATAATTCCCTTTTCTC